TTGTTGATAATAACTTAAATTATATATGTTATTAATTTTTCTCTAATTTTAAAGACATTAGAATTAAGTTTTGTTGTTGATAATAACTTAAATTATATGTTATTAATTTTTTGGGTGATAATATAATTTTAATAAAGACTCCGTAAAGCATTAAATTTTAAAATTATTTTAATTTTTAATTTACATGTAAATGTGAAAAAGTATAATAATTTATACTTAACTATGGTTTATGTGTATCAGTATTTTATACAAATAAATTTTGTATAAATTTAGATTTGTATAGTAAAAAATTACTATAGAATAAGCAATTATAATATTTATGCACTTAAAGTATTAAATTTACATTATACTTCTATTAAATTATTCAAATGACTCAATAAGTTTTTATAATAAGTTAATTTTCTTGCGTATCATGTAAAAATAATGAGTTTCTATATTTAAAAAATACACAAGCAAAAATTTCAATATTCTAATGATATTAACTCATATAAAAGAAATTGGTAACAAAAAAAATACTTCCTATTATATCTTTTATATCATGAAAATTAGTATGTATGATTGTAATCATATTCAAGGAATGACAAAAAATAAATTAATGAAGTAGAGTTAAAAATAAAAGAAGAAAATGAATATATATATATATATATATATATATATATATATATATTTGTATTTCATGTATAAATACACTTTTAATATATTTTAAAAATATATATTTTAAAGTCAACTGTAAATTAATTCAATTGTATTAACCTAATTTAATAATATAAAAATAGGAAATAATTTTTTATTAAAAATATAAAAGAATAACAATTTTTATAATTTACTTTTTTAATAAACATATTGTATGAATAATTATTCTGAGGTAAATTTTTATTTGTTGTGATATAAATATTTATATTCTTATATATGTAATCATTTATTTGAGTAATGTAAATATTTATATCAATTTTTTAATTTTTAATTTTGCATAAAAGAGAAATTTTGAAAATAAAAAATTATAAATTGAAATATTATTAATTAAAATAAAAATAATTTTCCATCCAACTAATAATTTTTTTTTGCTAAGCATTAATATTTTATTAAGGACAAATTTAGAGTATTAGGAGTGCTTTAACCCATTATAACTCTATAGGTAATTAATAATACATGTCAATGGATCATTAATCTAATTCACATATATAGTCGACCTTCTTAAAAGTCTTACTGCAAGTCACTTCTAAAATACATTTCTTAAACATTTAACCCAAGTTTTTATCTCTTCATAGAATTAGATCGAATTCGTAACTTGGCCTCCTCGCCTTGCGAAGAATGCACCTGTAACACTAATTCTTTTTTACACTTCCGTCTTAACAACAACATTGAATTGAAGGAAATCTAGTGCTTGACTTAATACATGATTAACCTCATCTGACTCGTAAGAAGGCTTAATAATCAGCTCATCAAATTCGCAAATAAATTCTTTTTGTGCCACATTTTTTGCCTTGATCCCTTATCAATATCACCTAAATATTGTCATAATCCTTCATCAGTTCCCATGTCTCACCAACTCACTTCCTCGTAAGTTTCGACCAACGAAAGCTCACCTTGGTCAACTTTCTTTAAAAACGCATCCTCACCCAATCACATAGTATCTACGTTATTATTGAAAATCAAGTTATTATTGATATTCACTTTATAATTTGAATTTTCTTTTATTCGCGCATCTATTATGTTCTTTGTGGAATTTGATTCTAGACTTTCAAACTTCTTTTGATATTGTGTAATGTCCGGCACTGAATCAAGTAAATTTTGTCCTGATAATCACTTGTTGTTTTCCTTCCTCCATGCTCTCTACACCACCTTTGGTCATTTGGTTTTTTTTTTCTACCCTTTCTACTGTTAGATCACAGCAACCCTTCTCACCATCATCTGAACTTTCATCGTCTAAAGTGTCCAAATCCAATGAAGCATCATCATAGCTCTTTGATGATGAAGTATTTGAATCATAATACCACTACTCTCTTTGAAAGAATTATCTCCCATCTTCCTCAACCATCTAGATTAGGAGAACACGGGATCATTAACATAAATTTTCAACTAGTAAAACATTAGTATTACATAAGTGTGATAGATTTTTTTCATAAACTCAAAATTATCTAATTAGTTAAATTAAATAATCAATGCAAAAGTTGATGTTATCAATTACATATTTTATGGTATTCAGTTCAATTTTCATTTCTTATATTTAAAATTAAATAAAATCATTAATATAAATTCATATTAATTTTTCTACTATATTGTTATATAAATATGAAACATTATTTTAGAATATATGAATTTTTTTTTAAATTGAGTTTACTTGATTTATAATTTATACCAAGTTGTACTAATACGTTTACTAATTTTTATATTATTAAAGTTTTAACTTTTTATTTAATAAGTATTGTTTATTAGATAAATAATTATATATTTTTAATAGAATATATATATATATATATATATATATATATATTTTAAAAACTCAATTACTACTAGAAAAATTAATGTTTTCTGCCATTTATATAACTATTGTTAAGTTTGAACATTATCCCTGCAGTTTAAATAACTATAGAAAATTTAAATATTTTTTGTGATTTATTATAATAACTGCAGTTAATTAACAATAGTTGAAAAAAATCTCAAGTAATTATTAAAATAATTTTTTATCAGTTTACTATAACTTTGCTCGCTCATACCCTCCTCCCAACCTTGAAGTATAACTCTAACTTTGAGAAAGAAAAAAAAAACATCTTCTCTCAACTGCTCTTTGAATCGATTTCATGCTCTCTCTATATTCATAGGTTTGATTCAATTTTCCTAATAATTTGAGTCGTAGTTGAAGAAAGTGTGTGATTCTTGGAATGTAGGTAGAGAAATTTGAAATTAAGAAGTATTTGACGTTTGTTTTGTATATGTTTTGTATATATTTTACTTGAATTTAAAGAGTGTAAGCAATACCTGTTTGCATCCTAAGATATTTAATCCACTAATATGTAAATATTGGTGTTGATGTTTCTATGATTTTGGCTTTGGGGCTTACCTACTAATATGTAGATATTGCTTCTATGAGATGAGGAGGAGAAGCAAAACCAAAACTGTGCTTAAGAGGGAAACCCTGCTAAAGATAAACTCGTGCTTCTAAATTTATAGATAGGATGAAACAATTTTATTTTGACCCAATACTACTTAATCATTAAGAAATAATCTCAATAACTTCTAAGAGACCACGCTCGAAAAGTAACAACTAGCAGTAAAAAGATGCAAATTAGAGACATAGTAAAAGTCCTTTAGGTTAAGTTTCAATATTTTATTATTTCTATGATAAATTGATGTTAACTTTAACAAATTGATGTTAACACTTCCTTCTTGCAATAATCATTGCTAAATTCCTTTTTATGTTAGAAGCTCATCTTCTTTGAAAGCTAAACAATTTATGTTAATTACTTTCAACCAAAGATTATATGGTTATGAAAGAGACTCTTCGTCAAGAAGGGATTCATCAATAGATGATGCTATATTATAGCAAAGCTTTTGGATCAAAATTGTGCTTAGAGTGGCTAGAAGACTATTTCCCTTCTAGATTGAATTGAAGCAAATCTGCTGATAGTGGAGATATTTGCTTATTTTTAATTGGGTGGGAATATTTTATGCCAAAAAATAAAATATCTCTTACTTTGACAAGTCTATATTTACTCAAAAAAAAAAAAAAGTGATGCAAAAGGTAGAAGTTATGAAAGTATTATGTTATTGATGAATTTTTTAGGGAAGTTTTGTAGCAAAAGAAGTGTAATATTTTCCTATATTAGTTTAAAATATAAGAAATTAGGATTTATAGTAGAAGTGCAGATAATACAAAAAATGTAAAAATAATCTGAGAAAAGATAAAAATAATCTTTCTTTCACATTTGATTCTATCTGATTATTCACTTAATATATTGATTTGAACTACAATAATGTCATTATCACAAACTAATTTTTATTTTTAATATTCTTGTCTTTGGCATGTCAATATCAATGTATTAAAGCATATTGATTATCATATGAAAAATTTCTTGACTCGTACGCATCAAATTAAGCCCACTATTGATTTAATAAGACTAGACCTTAAATCTTAAAAAGCAATCATAGAGATGCCATTAAACTAAACACTGATAAATTTAATCTTAACTAACACTTTAAAATAACTTTGGAGTAAAAGAGGACAAAATAACATAAGTAATAATTTATTACATGAAAACACTAATAAATTACTTTCAAACTCCAATGTAAAATCTAGGTTAAGATGATAACATCATAAATATAATATATAATTCATTACTTTATGTTCTTGAAAAAAAAAAAATCCAATACTAAATATTAACCTTAACAAACCATTAGTTTGGTGAAAGAACAATGGGATAGCATGATTGAAATGAATGTTGTGAAGTGGCACTTCAATAGAAACACGTCCACTAGCTAATTTTTCAACTGTATTGATCAAGAAACAAAACAATATCATTAATAAATTAGTTTAAAAAAAAGACAATAAACACTAGTATGTCATGACAAAAAGTTTCTGAATTTTGCAAAAATAACAGTTCATTTAACTGAATTAAATTGTAAATGAGTTTGCAAATAAATTATTTGATTTAGTTTGTAAATTTTGAATTCGAAAAATAAAAAAAAAAGCAAGAGAACAATAAATTAATAAACATTATAATTTTTAATAAAAATATTATTTTTAATTATTTAAAAGTAACCTTGAGAACAAATTTTAACACTTAATTACACGTCTCAAAATATGATTTAACACAAAAAGGTTGATCCGCAAACTACTATTTACGTAGTTATGTTGTTTATTTTCTTGGGACTTAGCCTCACTGTTCAGAAAATCTAAAATAAAAAAAATTGCTTTATATATATTACGGTAGAAATTGTTTTATATAAAAAATTTGAAATCAGGGTTTACCTCTGGATGATTCGTGCCTGCGGTGCAGCCCTCATATTATGACTTGACGGTTTATCTTGATGGCAGGAATGTGAGCAATCTTTGAGAAGTGTTCTCCTTTCTCATTTTCATACCTTTTTTGTAGTAATGGACATCTATTTATCCACAGGAATTCCAGAGACGATGGCAGTTGATCCTCTGGCAATGACTCAAGCCTTCCACACTCGGAGATATAAAGCTCTTTAAGAGAAGTGAGATGTTGAAGCCCTTTCCCTTCCAACCACTTCAAACCATAAAAATTGGATAGACACACAGACGTGAGAGAAGTGGGCAGTGATGGCTCCCTCAGCAAGGTGTTGATCACATCTTCATCCCCCAAACCACTGAGACCAAGATGTGGCAGAGAAGTGAGGCGTTGGAATTGGCAAACTAACTCTTGTTTAGACATACATGATAATGATAGTATTCCACCATCAACACCAAGATCTTGTAAACTGGAAGGCAACCACCTTGGGGACAATGACGCTAACTCTGGAAGTTCACTAAGGTACAAGCTTTGAAGGGCAGGGAGATCCATCTCTTCTGGAAGTGACCTGAGTTTCTTACACTTATGGACAGTAAAACCATTTAATAAATTAGGAGAGGCCCCTCCTCCTTTATTAGTAATTGCTTCCAAATTGGTACAGTCATAGATCCAAAGGTTTCGAAGAGCTGGGAAGCAATCCAGAGGAAAGGACATGAGCGAATCACAATTCCATAGTGTCAGGTATTCCAGTGATGTATATTTGTGCCATCTTTCGTCACACACAAGTTCTAACTTCTCACAACCAGTAATGCGAAGTGAGTGCAATGACGTGGGCAAACCATCAGTTGGGAGGGAAACCAAAGACTTGATATCTGTAAGAGTCAAGTATCGAAGGCAGTTGGCACTGAGTATCATTCTTGGCAAACACTGCAAGCTGTCACGCTTCTCAATTGATAGTCTACGATAAGACAAGTTAAGCGAAGACAACCACCCCTCTCCCCCTTTTCTAACACTCATTTCTTCAATTGATGTATTCCACTGCAGATCGCATGATTTTGCCTCCAGTTGGTTGCACTCTAAAATACGAACCTCTTTCAATGAAGGTAGACGGTTGGGCAAGTTTCCTCCCAACATGGGGCACTTGAATAAACACAAACGCTTCAGACAAGGAAAAGGAAAATTGCTACCTTTACCTTCAAATGGTAGCCACTCCTCCCACTTTGACATCTGCTCAAACTGGAGAGTTTCCAACATTGGAAATGGCTGAAAGGATTGGGAACTTGCATTGCTGCAATAGAACTCTTGACCAATTGTCTTCACCATTTTCATCCTTATAATGACAAGCTCTTTAAGAGAAGGTAATTGTCCAAATGGCGGAAGTGACACGCAATAGTTGCAGTCACTGATACACAGGACTTGAACATTACAGTATGAAGAATCACCCAGCCAATTTGGGAAACTTGTAACAGTAGTATCTCATGCTCAGTTTCTTTAACATTGTTGATGGTTGCAAGTTGTCAAGTACATCTTTCTCAATTTGTGAATCTTGTGGGTCTCTGCCCCACTCCCACTCAAGCTTAAGTTCCTCAATCAGCTCTTTTTTCTTTAAGTTGGCTTGAAATGCATCGTTAGGATCAAAAACATTGTGGAGCTTCAAAATGGAAAGCTTACCCTGCAGATAGGGAAATTTTCTTAATTCACTGATCCTTAATCCATCTTCTTTGCCTACAATGAAGGAAGTCAATGTACGGAGATCTTGTAGTCGGCATATCTCTGTTGGCATCGCCTTCAAATTTGTGTCAATAATATCAAGGTGGCATAAGTTGACCAAATTTTCTATCTGTGCTGGTAGCTCCACAAGAGATTCACAATTTGACAATTTCAAAGTATGCAAATTGTAAAGCTTGAAGGTTGCATCGGGCAACCTTTTGATGGAAGTATAGGAAAGGTCAAGATACCGCAGAAGTACCAAGATGCCGATTGAATCAGGCAGCTCAGTGATATTATTATATTTTGACAATGATAGCACTCGTGGGCATTGTAGTTTTGGCAACAAATCTTGGGGCACCTTTCTGGTTATGTGACAGTTCCATTTATCAAATGGTAGAAAGGTCCGCAAACATTTCAGCTCATATAAGCTCTCAAGTTTTTTAGAAACGTCATAATGGTCTCTAGAGAAAGATAGATGGCGCACATTTTTTGGAATTTCACTGCAATCCAGGTAGTGAGATCTTTTACCTGATACAAGTCTAGCTAAATCATAGATGAGGTCATGCATTCGGAACTTGTCCTCTGCAACAGCTTCGTCTTTCTGAATTAAGGATCTGGATAATAATTCATTAAAGCAGTCAGAACCAACTAATTCCAGTTCTTTCTCTGACGATTGTTGTAGAAGGCCTGCAGCCATCCATAACAAAATCAAGTCTTCCCTGTCCAACAAATGTTGTTTTGGAAAGATTGAGCAATAGGCAAAACATCTTTTCAAATGTGCTGGAAGATGAAGATAACTTATGCGCAAAGCTGGTAAAACATCATTGTGTGCCCACAACTTGCTGTTTAGAACTCTTTTCCATTCCTTTTCATCAACATCTGATCGCAAAAGACCTCCCAATGTTTTAGCAGCTAATGGTAGGCCATCACATTTTCTTGCAATTTGCCGACCAAATTTTTCTAGACTTGGATATTTGTCATAACCTTCATTTCTAAATGCATAAATTGCCAGTATCCTCCAACAATTTTCCTGTCAGGGATTTCAGCTCATAAGTGGGAAATGTGTGGGTAAACTTTGCAACTTCTTGTTGTCGGGTTGTCACAATGATCCTACTTCCCCTTTTTCCACTAGTAAAAGCAGCTATCAATTGATTCCAGTCATTATACTCGTCATTACAGAGGTCATCAAGCACAAGCAAAATTTTTTTATATTTCAAGCTATTTTTTAATTCAACACGAAGAACATCTGGATTGGTACCAGTACAATCTTTGGACAAGACAGACTCAGCAATTTGTTTTGTTACCTTGAAAACATCATGAACGTCCGATACCCTCACCCAAGCTTTCAAGTCAAAATGTTTCTGCACTTCACTATCATTATAAAGGTATTGAGCAAGGGTTGTTTTGCCCCGACCTCCCATGCCTAGGATTGTGATCACTTCTATATTATTAGAATTGGCATCAACATCAGAAAGAAGCATGTTCAGTAACTTGGCTTTGTCATCCTCTCTAGCAACCACAACAGGTTCAACCAACGAATCTGTACTTATGCTGTAAGAGACTCTCCTATAAACACTTTGCAAACCAAGAATATCTTTCTGTTTCACAAAATGTTCTAGCCTTCCAGATATTGCTTCAAGCTTGGCATTCAGGGTATTAAAGGGAGAAGAAAATAACGATCTCACCTGGGTAAAGCTTTTAGATTCTCCCTCCACCTTGTATCTCAAATATTCAGTGTTGATTTCATCCAACACATCTTCTGCATCCAAGACAGCATCTTTCAAGTCATCAAGCCATGTCTTCACAGCATCATCAGTGATCTGCTTCTCCTCAGCATCATTGAGCACAGCATTAAGTGCCCCAAGCTTTATCTTCAACTCATCCAACAGAGAAACATTGAGGCTCCTGCTGGCAAAGAAATCTCGAAACTCTGTAGAAGTTATTCTCTCTAACAAGATCACCACAGAAGCAGAGATAAGTGGCTCTCCCACCATAGCCAAGGCCATTTCTTCTTTGTTCTGCAAACTATATTGGAACTCTAAATAAATCTCTTGCTGTATGCTGAACGTGATATATCAATGAAAGTATCTTAACAAAGTGACTACTTATGCTAACATTAATAGCAAATGCTTTATTTTTACCTTGAAAGTGGCCACCCAACCTTCCATTTTGCATTTCAACTTTTTTAGTCTGATTTCTATTAGGTATCTGAGCATAATAGTAGTTGCAAAAATCTTTAAGTAAAATTTCTATTCCAAGTAAAGAATAAGCATCGCACCGAAATAATGATGCTATTTGTTGGGTTACATCATGCACTATTATTGGTGTCATTTGGCAACTTCAAATTCAAGTAATATAGGCAAAATTCAGAAAAGGTTGAGCTTAAATTTAGGAAAAGTTAATTATACAGTTTGTATAGATTTATAAATTTTAAATTGAACAATATCATAATCATGGCAAAATTAAATCAACAGAAGCTTTAATTTGAGTCTAGTTAGGTGCTCATAATCCATATCGTATTCTCAAATTTCAGAAGTTTTCTAAATACTAAAACGGCTGAGAAATAAACTCAACGTTAATGGATACATAATGGGTAAATAAAATAGACATGGGTGCTTATTGTAAAATAAGCATTCAAAATGCAAACGTTAGAAATAACAACTATGCAAAAAAAAGGCGTGTTTGTGTCGTTAGCTATTATTATTTATTTTTTCACAACAATCTATTGATGATATTTTGTTTAAGGCTTAGGAATTCAGCCTCTTGCTTGTTTAAGGCTTTTTTTTTTTTTTTTTTTTTCTGAAATAGGATGAATGGAGAAACAAATTCTCCATGTAAGGAAATTGCCAAAAAGAAATTCATTGTCTTGACAGAATTGATATAGTATCATAAACTTTATTGCCGAAACACATTAAATTTTGTTTTTTATTGGTAGCATCAGCTTACAAAATAGTTACACATATTTTATATTATTTAAAAATAGAGTACAAAGCAAAGTAATAAACAACACTAATTTAAATTGCTGTCACGTGGTCGGCTACAAATAGTTCAACACTTATATGTCAGTTGATTTCTTTATATGTCAGTATGCTGATTTCTGTCACTTTACCGCGTGTTGGCTACTTGGACTCCAACACTTGCTTGTGCTCCATGCGGTAAAGAAGTAATACTCTTATCCAACAGTTTTCTATTTTTGTGTGTATATATATTCTTACACCAGTACAAGTCTAAAAATTTTTATACTCAATTTAAACTTTTTATTTAACTTATATCTAATGGCCAGTAAAATAATAAATTATAAGTTTTTAGATTAGATGTAAGTTAAATGAAAGTTTCATATTAGGTACAAGAGTTTTTAGACTTACATTGGTATAAGTAAATCATGTCCCATATATATATATATATAATTGAAAATATTAGAAGTTTTAATTTTTGCAATTAAGATTTAAACAATATTATTATTTTTTATGTGATTATTAATTTATGAAATTAAGAATATTTGTGGTGCTATGATAATTTATTTAGTATAAGTACAATATTGAAAATGTAAATATAAATCTTTTTTTAATTTAATGTGCTTGTAATATTTTCTATTAGTGTTTGTTTAAGTAGTAAATTTATTTTCATAAGTTTTTTTTTTGTATTTTTTATTTTGATATGCAAGATGACTGAAATTGTGGTTATTTAATATTGGAATGGAAGAGTATACAAAGAAGATGAGAGTATAATATTTGAAGAAAATAAGAAGACGATTAAGATAGAATGTGAAATTACTTTCGAGATGTTGTAAAGAAATATACATACAAAATTGAGATTGTAAAGTAATGTAATTTCTAGACTAATTTTACAAATTTTAGTTGATCTAAGGAATGAAAACCACACAATTTTACATGTATGTGATGATGAAGTCATTGATTACATGATAAGTGCATGTCAACAATGATATCAAAGAAATGTAGTTGAGATGTGGATATTGCAATTGGTGAAACTTCTCATATTGTTACACAATCATTAGGTTTAAATTTATTACTCTCACCTGTTAATGTTAGTGACAATGAAGAAGAGTATGCAACTTGAAGAGGGAATGTATAATATTTATTTAAATAATATTATGTTTAAAATTTATTGATTTATTAATAAATATGTTCTATTGCGTCTGCAGATGAAGAAGATTATTACGAAGATGAAAGATAAATTCCTTTAGGTAATTCATCTGATATTGATTTGTGAGATAATTTTGATTCAATGATCAATATTCCAAACATCGAAAGAAATAGCAATGTGCAACATGAAACAAACATAGTTTTATATAATAAATTAATTGTGAAATTTTTTTAACTATCATTGTGAGAGTTTAATACGGATTCTGTAACACCTTTTTGAAATATAAGTTCACACTAATTGCTATTAATTGGTAACATCTTGATCAAGAATTAGATTTTTTTGAGTTGCATTTGTTACAATCATGGATACAAGAAGATACATTATATGTTGGACAACTCTTTGACTCTGAAGAGGAGTTTAAAATGGCGACAGAACATTATGCAACAAGTAAACATCAAACACTTTTTGTTGTTGGGTCAAAAGCGACAACTCATGAAGTGTGTGAATTATAATACTGGATGTCCATGGAAAGTAATAGAATTGTTGCCCAAAAATACTAATGAATAAAAAATTACAAATAAGTGACATTTTTTAAAATGATGTTTAAATGATTATTAGCTGAGATATATTATTTATTTTTAATGATAGATATGGTCAAAAAAGAATCATCGGTGCCAATTTCATTAATCCAAGAGAGTATAAGCGGATAATTTGAGTATTTAATTTCATACAAAAAAAAGCATGAAAAATAAAACAAAAAACAATTGTAACAATGTTTGGTGATTGAGATGAATCGTATGTAATATTTCCAAGATAGTTAGAATACACTTAAATTAATAGTTTTAACACGTAAATTTATTATTATTAATCAAACTCAGATAAATAATATCAATCTTTTTAAAAACTTTAAATCTCTAAATTACTAATTATTTATTTTATTTGATTTTTAGTATTTTTTATTTTAAATTAACATATTCAAATATATTTATTACTAATTTTGTGATGAATATATTACACCTTCATTATAATTTTCATTTTAATTTCATCAAATATTAAGTATTAATCTGCCTTTTTAATATTTACTAATTTTTTTTTCTAGATCTACTAACAATCAACTTCTAATTCTAAACCATATATTTATATAATTTTAATATATAATTTTTCAATTTTTATTATCATTTAACTACTTATATAACATATTATAATTATAATTTTATACTTTTAAATTTAAATAAATACATACATTATAACTAAACTATAATATTTTATAGATTCATGTTTTTTTAATTAAATTATTATTCTTTTACTCTTTATTTTTTTAAAATAATCTAATTTATAATTAAATGATGACTAATTTTATTTTTTAATTTCAGAATTTTAAATTATTTATTAGTTCTTAATTTTGTGACAAATTCTTTTTTTTTTTTTACAAATTTAACAACTACAGTTTTTTTTTATCAATGTAAATTTATTAATTAACATGTCTTTTTTATTATTTCAATTTTATTATGTCACAAATATTTTTTTATTTTATTAATCTACCAACAATCGCATATAATTCTAATCCATATATTTATCTAATTTAATTATTTAATATTTTTTAATTTATTTATATTTATATATGTTTAAAATTTAGTTATTTTAACATAATAATATTTACAATACTAAATAATATAAATATTAGTTTTACTTTTAAATACAATTTTCTACCTAAAAAAATAAAAATATTATATTGTAATATATATTATAATTATATATATATATATATATATATATATATGATGATTCTAATTCTAAAATATAAATTTCTATTTTCCTATTTCTTTATTTTATACATGCAAAAAAATATAAAAAAATTAAATATAATTTTAATTTTTACTAACCTTTGTTGTTGGAGTGCTTAATAAAATCAAGATCATTCACTCTTACTTATAATCTATGACTCCCTTCAATAATTTTTTTCTAAAATGTAAAATAATTTTATTTATTTAAAAATATATTAATATTTATATTTAATACAAAATAGCTTCTCCTTGCTTACAAATTTTCAAAACAGTAAAATCACTGTTGTCAAATGATATATTTTTTTCCACTGGTTCTTTTATTTATATATATATATATATATATATATATATATATTGTTTTCGGCACCATTTGAACAAGGAAGAAGACGAAGTAGAGAAGAAGAAGCAGGGGGGAGAGAGACGGGCTAGAAACAGTTTAGAAGTTCTGCCACATGGAGCAATTAAAAGTTTGTTGGTCCTACTTATGCTAGCACACATGTCGGCTACAATAGTGCTGAAAAAAAAGTTAGATCTAAGACGTCCAATACTATAGAAAACATTCATGTGTTACCATCGCAGTTGTTGATAATTTTTTTTAAAATTTCTTTTTGTTATTGGCACGACATGTGCCAACTTTCTTTAGTGTCAATAGATAGTTTGACGAACTTAAAATTTAAAAAATTAAAAATAATTTTATGTCGGCACTGAATCTTTCAACACTTATAACATGTAGCATTCTTCACCCTAGATAATGAATTTGTTTGACAATCACCCTATATGGAGAATTTGTTTCTTAGTTCACCCTATTTCATAAAAAAAAATTCCTTATTTAACTCTATTGTGTATTTTTTTTTAAAAAAAAATTAGTTGTTGAATTTTACTTTCCCTAATGGACAAATATAATCACAAAGCATCTTTGGATAAACATACTTCAATGTTATATTTGAGAGTTGATTTGAAGAAAAAGGAGAGGAATGATAAATATTTTTATTTATAAATTAAAAGATTTTTATAATAGTTTTAAAAGTAAATAAAAGATTAACACGTTTTCTTAAACATCACTTAATTTTTTGAATATGTATAATATTTGTTCGAGAGAGAGAGTAAATTTATTCCTTTTTATTAAAAGTTCAAGGCAATATTAATGTTATTCTTCCACTAATTTCTTTTTGTAGAGATAGAATATTTATATTATTTAAGTAGTTTAAGAGTAAAAAAGAGATACAATGTTGGTAATTGGAATGTTTAACAATCAATTTCAAACTATTGAATGCTTTGGTTTGTGTAACTTCTTCATGTGAATGGATAAATAGGAATAAAAATATTATTTTTCTAACATAGTAGAAATAGTATTAAGTAAACCATCAAAATAATTTTTATTATTTCTATAATCTATCAAAATAATCTAACGTGAAGCTTGACTAAAATAGTTACTGGTTAAATAATCTAACCATTAAATAATAATAACAATAATATTAAGAAAAAATTACGCTAAAGAATCAATTTTCTATTCGCAATATAATTTTGTATAATTATAAAAAAAATAAAAAATCTAATTAGTAACGCTACTCGCCCTTTATTGAATGCTTTCCTTTCTTTTTTCAGAAATTTTAAAACTACTAACAACAACTTTTAAGTTTATATCTTATCTAAATTTTGGTAAAAGAAAAAATATAAAATATATATATATATATATATATATATAAATATATTTTAAAACTATTCTATCTCTTTATACAATTTCTTATTTCTCTTAAAGACATAACTATTTATTAAAAAATTCATTTTATTTTCTCCTTACTTTCGTATTTCTCTTATACCAAATAACCCTTGAAAGAAGTGTTTGATAAAGCTAATGAAAAAATTAACTAAAATTTTTAAGACTAACTGTAAATTGAATGTTAATTATATTAAAAGTATATGAGATAACTAATTACTATTACGTATAAAATGAAATATTTAATTACTAAGCCTTAACTTGAAACTTGATAACTGTATATGTTTTTAAATAATTATGAATTTTCATATTTTAATTTATTTAAACAATTTATCTTCTTAAAATTAAGATAATAATTTTTTTATTAATTTATTAAATAAAATTATATAATTTAAATAAATTGATACAACAATTTTGAGGATTTTATATTATAAAAAAAATGAGATAGAGAAAATGTGTCTAAGGATTTGTAAAATTTAAGAGGAGAGAGAGAAATTATAATAAAATATAAAATGAAAAACTAAAAAATTATAAGCGCGAGCATTATATAAAAGTGTTAACTATCTTCTAGGTGTCTTTCTATTATGCTAGTTGTATAGCTAGTAAACTCTATAACTCTTCTCTTATGCTTACAAGGTATTAGAGCTTTGATTCATGGCAGCGCCAAGCAATTCTTCATTTCTGCCAACACTGGTTGGTGTTCCATTTATTAAAAGAAGAAGAACTCATGAAGAGAAAACTTGAGAGAGATTGAAGAACTGTACTTTTCATTAAAAAGAAAGTTACAGAAAGATGAATTATATGTACAAAAAATATAATCGAGAAAAGTAATTAACAGAAAAACTAACTAACCACTGTACAATTCAGCTACTAACAAAAAACAAAGTGTAAAACTAACTAAAACAGAGTGTAACACTAACTATTGCTAATTATTGTGTAACACCCTCCCCGCAATTTGGAATAGATATTAATCATTCCAAGCTTGGATTGTAAGTGTTTAAAAGGTGTTAGGCTAAGTGGTTTGGTCAGAATGTCAACAATATGAGAAGAACTGGAAATGGAAAGCAAGTGAATTAAGCCAAGTTGTAGCTTTTCTCGAACAAAATGACAATCCAATTCTATGTGTTTAGTTCATTCATGAAACACAGGATTGGAGGCTATGGGTAAGGCAGATTAATTGTCATAATATAGAGTAATGAGAGCTATATCTGTTAGTTGAAAATCTTGAAGAAGATAGAATAACCACTAAGCTTCACATGTGGCTTGTGACAAAGCTCTATATTCAGCCTTCGATGAAGATTTTGAAATTGTGGGCTGCTTCTTGCTCTTCCAAGAAATGAGAGCATTGCCAAGGAAGAAACAAAATCCAGTGACAGACCTTCTTGTATCAAGGCAAGAACCCCACTCAGAATTTGTGAAACCTTTCAATTTAAGATCAGAATTTGAAGGGAAAAATAGACCTCTTCCAGTAGCATTTTTTATGAATCTAAGAACTCTCAAGGCTGCCTGATAGTGCACATCTGTTGGTTGTGCCATAAACTGACTTAAATGAGTGACAGAGAAACTAATATCTAGTCTAATATTAGTCAAGTAAATTAATTTCCCCAATAGTGTTCTATAAACTTCAGGATCATTCAATGGGGTTCCTAAACTTTTATGAAGTTTAAGAGTGTAATCCATAGGTGTTTTACAAGGTTTTCTAGCAAGTAACTTTGCACTTTCAAGTAGATCCATTGCATATTTTCTCTGACAAATGGAGATCCCTGTGTGAGATCGAGCTACCTCAAAACCTAGAAAATATTTCAAGTTGTCAAGATCTTTGATAGTGAAAGCAGCATCAAGTAATTGTTTCACTTTAGTAATTTCATTCAAGTCATTTCCAGCTAAGACCAAATCATCAACATAAACAAGAATAGCTTAGTATGAAGCAGAATTGTTTTTAACAAATAAAGAATAATCAGCTCTCAACTAAGTATAACCAGATTGAATTAAAACATTAGTGAGTTTAGCATTCCACTGTCTGCTTGCTTGTTTTAATTAGTAGGAGATTTTTGCAACTTACAAACTTGATGAGAAGAGGTAGAAGAAGACAAACCTGGAGGCAAGTGCATATAGACTTCCTCATGTATGAAGGAATGCAGTATTGACATCTAATTGATGAAGATGCCAATTCTTGGCAAAAGCAACAAGAAGCAAAGTTCTTACAGTAGTCATCATGACAACAGGGCTGAAAGTGTCTAGATAATCTAATCCCTCTGTCTGAGTATATCCTTTGGCTACCAATCTAGCCTTGTATCTCTCAATGGTACCATCAAAATGGAACTTGATCATAAAAATCCATTTGCATCCTATTGCCCTTTTATCATGAGGCAAATCTGTGAGAGTCCAATTGTTATTTTTCTCCAAAGCTGCAAGTTCCGTTTGAATAGCATTCTTCTAGCAATCATGTTGAATGGCCTGAGCATAATTAGTAGGTTCAATAGCTGTGGAAATATTGAGGACATAGTTTTTGTAACAAGAGGAAAGGTTGGTATAGGAAACACATTTTGAAATGGGATACTTAGTATTAGAGTGAATGGTATGATTAATAGCTAATGTATGATGGTAATCTGTGAGAGAGGATGGGAGTCTTTTCGGCCTTGTAGATTTTCTAAGGGATGGTGGATCTTGTATGGTTGTTTCTAGACATGGTATATTTGGAACGTTAGGGTCAAGTGCAGCATCAATATGAGTAAGTGATGATTCTGTAGTTGATTCAAAATTTAGTAGAGGTAAGGGAATGGTGTGAGAGTGATCATTAGGACAGAAATGATCAACATTAATAGTTTCTTTGCTCAGGAAAGGATAGATGTGCAAAAAAAATTCTACATGCTTGCTAAGGAAAGTCTCTCTGGATAATAAGTCATATAAGAGATATCCCTTCACATTGTGTCTGAAATCCAGAAAAACACATTTTCTTCCTCTAGGATCAAACTTCTTTCTGTTAGCTTGTAAGGTGCTTGCATAAGCTAAGCAACCAAAACTCTTTTAAGTTACTAATGTTAGGAAGTTGCTGATAAAGAATCTCATAAGGAGTGAGATTTTTCAAAACTTTGCTTGGCTGCCTACAATAAGAAAAATAGCATGTGAAATAGCATAAATCCAGAAACATTTAGGAATATGAGATTAAAAAATAAGAGCTCTAGCCACTGTTATGATGTGCTAATGCTTTCTTTCCACTATCCCATTTTGCTGTGGAGTTTCAACACAAGATTTTTGATGAATAATTCCTTTCTCATTGAAGAATGATGTCAAATTAAATTCTGGTCCATTGGCTGACCTTATACATTTTATTCTCTTATTAAATTAATTCTCCACCATGGCTATAAAGCCTTTCAAATGTGTAGCTATTTCTTACTTTTGCTTTATAAAGTAAGTCCAAGTATATCTTGATTTATCATCTACCACAGTGAGAAAGTATCTATGTCCAAAAATAGAAGAGGAGGATGTTGGCCCCCATATGTCAACATGTATCAAATCAAAATCTGCTTCAGATTTTCTCACACTTGAAGGAAAAGGTAAATGTTTTTGCTTAGCTAAGTAGCAAACATTACAAGGATCTTTATTTTGAACACAATCAATAAAAGAAAACTTTTGCTTCAATACAACAAGTTTGTCATGAGCCAAATGACCAAATCTAACATGCCACAGGTCACAATCATGTGAATAAAAATTGTTAACAGAATGAACAAAAGAATTCACTTTAGGATTGAGACCAAGAATGTAAAGTTCTCTTTTCATTTTACCTACATCAATCATCCTCATAGATTGGAGGTCTTGGATTTCACAAGATGTAGGAGAAAAATCAATTGGCAACCAAGTTGAGTAATAAGCTTTGAAATAGAAATGAGATTGAAGTGTAGCTGTGATACAAATTGCATATGTAGTTCAAGAATTATCACTCGTATTAAGTCATATCGTCAAGATGATTATGTTATAAGGTTTTTGAAAGGATTAAATGAGCAATACTCGGCTGTTAGATCACAAATTATGTTGATGGAACCATTGTCTGACATTGGAAAAGCATTCTCCCTATTAATTCAACAAGAAAGACAATTTAATTTTATGACTCATGATTTAAAGGTGTTAGCCGTTACAAATAGCATAAACAAATTCTCTGGAAGAGGTAGAGGAGGAAGATTTGGTGCTAGAAGAGGCAAGGTTTGCTCCTATTGTAACAAGACAGGTCACACAGTGGATAATTGCTATAAAAAAACATAGATTTTCACCTCATTTCAAGAAGTCAGGAACAAGTAGTTTAGCAAATAACTATTTTAATAATGAAGAGGCACTAAATTTTGAAGACAACATGAACATTGGCAATAAGGAAAAGGATGATGACAAACTAATCAAGCTCACACCAGACCAGCAGAGAGCTATTGCGGCTATTATGAGTCAGTCAAACAATCAGCATGTTACTCACTCAACCAATCACATTACATCTATTGATCAGAATGTTTCTCAAACACAAACAGATATAATATGTACTCTATCTAATGATATCAAATCCAATATTTTGATCTTGGACACAGGAGCCATGGACTATGTTTGCCACTCCCTTAAGTCTTTTCAGTGCATTAGAAAAATCAAGCCTATAAAAATTCATCTACCAAATGAAAACTCAATCATCACAGATTTGGCAGGACTTGTTTTCTTTTCAGAAGATTTCTATATCATAGATGGGCTTTACATTCCCAATTTCAGCTTCAATTTCAAGTTCTTGTCACATAATCTTGAGTTGAGTGAAGTAAGCTGTTATTGTTGAATCTCCTTGCTTCAACATGTAGATTTCTTCTTGTAAATCACTGATCCGAACATCTCCCTGATAGTACCAATGTTTGAGAGCCTTCCAAATATCTTCAACACTATCACACCATAAAATGCTTTCAGCAATATCTGCATCAACTGATCGAATTAACCATGACATCACCATGGTATTGCACCTCTTCCAGGCAGCAAAATTCACATCTTTTGGAGGTTTTGGAAGTGATCCATTCAGATGTTTGGTGTCCCAGTCGTACTATATCTACCTTAAGGTTCAGGTATTTTGTTACCTTCATTGACGATTATTCTCGTTGTACTTGGTTATTTTTAATGAAAAATCGTTCTGACTTATTCTTTATTTTTCAGTCCTTTTACCATGAAATCAAAAGTCAATTTGGTGTTTCTATTCGTATTTTACGTAGTGATAATGCAAAAGAATATTTATCTCAATCCTTTCAATCATTTATGGCTTCCAATGACACTCTTCATCAAACCTTTTGTGCACATACCCCTCAACAAAATGGAGTTGCTGAAAGAAAGAATAGACATCTTATTGAGACTACTCGGACTCTTCTTCTTCATGGTAATGTTCCCCATCAATTTTGGGCCGATGCTGTCCTTACAGTCTGTTATCTTATCAATCGTATGCCCTCCTCTACTCTTAATAACCAGGTACCACACTCTGTCTTGTTTCCTTACCAGCCTTTACATTCTTTACCTCCTCGTGTTTTTGGATCTACTTGCTTTGTTCATAATCTTAGTCTAGGGGTTGACAAAATTTCTCTTCGTGCTCACAAATGTGTCTTCCTTGGTTACAGTCGATCTCAAAAAGGTTATAAGTGTTTCTCTTCCACCCTTAAATGCTATCTTATCTCCGTTGACGTCTCTTTCTTTGAGTCTGCGTCTTCTCCAGCACCTTCTCAGTCTGTCATATCTCTACCACCTGTTCATGTTGTTTTTCAACCCCAAGAGACACCACCTCCACCAAATGACTCTCCTCTCGATGCTCCTCCTTTGCGTCCTTTACAGGTTTATCTCTGCTGGCCCTACCCACCTCCCGTGCTGCCACCAGCCAATGAAGGGACTCCATTTGACTCACCACCGGCTCCAACTCATTCACCTCTTCTGGTTTTGTCTTCTGAAACTGATCTTCCTATTGCTCTTTGCAAAATTATACGTTCTACTTGCAATCCTTCTCCTTATTATGTTGCTTTATCATATCATCGTTTATCTTCTTTCCACTATATGTGTCTTTCATCTTTGTCTTCTGTTTCTATTCCTAAACATCCAGATGAAGCTCTTTCATATCCTGGTTGGCGTCAAGCTATGCTTGATGAGATGAGTGCACTTCAGAGCAGTGGAACTTAGGACCTAGCTCCCCTACCAGCAAGAAAATCAATTGTCGGATGCTGATGGGTTTACACAATTAAGGTTGGCCCTGATGGGTGTGTTGATCGCCTTAAAGCTCGCTTGGTCGTTAAGGTTATACTCAAATCTTTGGCTTGGATTATGGTGATACTTTCTCTCTCGTTGCCAAAATGACGTTTGTTCGCTTATTCTTATCCATGGCTGCCATCCGTCATTGGCCTTTTTATCAGCTTGACATCAAGAATGCTTTTCTCCATGGTGATCTCATTGAGGAAGTCTATATGGAGCAACATCCTGGTTTTGTTGCTAAGGGGGAGTCTTCTGGATTAGTCTGTCGTCTTCGAAAATCCCTATATGGCCTTGAATAGTCTCCTAGGGCATGGTTTGGCAGATTCAGCACTGTAGTCCAACAGTTTGGGATAACTCGGAGTGAAGCAGATCATTCAGTTTTTTACCGCCATTCACCCACAGGATGCATTTACTTGATTGTTTATGTCGACGACATTATTATTACTGGCAGTGATCATCATGGCATTACACAAATAAAGCAACACCTATGTCACCATTTTTAGACAAAAGACCTTGACAGACTTTGATACTTCTTGGGAATAGAGGTGGCATAATCCAAAAATGGTATTGTTATTTTCCAAAGGAAGTACGCATTGGATATCTTAGAGGAAATAGGTTTGATGGGTGCTAAATCTGTGGATACTCCTATGGATCCTAATTCCAAACTTCTGCCAAGTCAAGGGAAGCCTCTTTCTGACCCAGAGAAGTATAGGAGATTGGTTGGGAAGTTAAACTATCTTACTGTCACTCGTCCAGACATCTCTTATGCAATCAGTGTGGTAAGTCAATTTCTCAATTATCCCTGCGAAGGACATTGGGACGCATTGATTCGGATCTTTAAATATATTAAAGGAGCCCTAGGGAAAGGACTTGTATATGAGGACAAGGGTTATGCTTAGATTGTAGGTTACTTTTATGCAGATTGGGCAAGTTCTCCTGTTGATAGAAGATCTACTTCTGGCTATTGCATTCTTATTGGAGAGAATTTGATTTCTTGGAAAAGTAAGAAGCAAAGCGTAGTTGCCCGCTCAAGTGCGGAAGCAGAATATCGAGCCATGGGTTTAGCCACATGTGAACTTATCTGGCTGAAACAACTTTTTAAAGAACTGAGATTTGGAGATATTACACAAATGACACTTATTTGTGATAATTAAGCATCCTTGCATATTGCCTCAAATATGATATTTCATGAAAGGACAAAGCACATTGAGATCGATTGTCACTTCATTCGTGAGAAGATCTTATCGGGGGACATCACCACCAGCTTTGTCAATTCAAATGACCAACTGGCAGATGTTGTTACTAAATCTTTGAGAGGTCCTCGAATTATTTACATATGTAACAAGCTTGGTGCATATGATTTATGTGCTCAAGCTTGAGGGGGAGTATTAGAAATATGTAAATATAGAAACATGCAATTATAGTAATGCTGAAATTAGGGAGATGATATGCTGTATTTAGGGAAATAATATTTCTGTAATTATGGTAATTAGGTAACCATAATATCTCTATAATTAATTCCTATATCAATGCTCCTAGTATAAATATATGCTCTGATGTGTAGTTGAGACACACAGAGTCACTTAATGCTCTTTCGTTTTCTTTTCTCTTAACATAGAGAACAATAAAGGATGATGAACTACAGCATGAAAAAGAAGAAGAAAAAATTCATGGTTGTACGTAACAGAGCTCCTACGAAAAGAGCTTTGATACCATATTAAAAGAAGAAGAACTCGTGAAGAGAAAACTTGAGAGAGATTGAAGAACTGTATTTTTCATTAAAAAGAAGGTTATGGAAAGATGAATTATATATACAAAGAATATAATCAAAAAAAGTAATTAACAGAAAAACTAAACAGAAAAACTAACTAACCACTATACAATTCAGCTACTAACAGAAAATAAAGTGTAAAACTAACTAAAACAGAGTGTAACACTAACTATTGCTAATTATTGTGTAACACCATTCTCGGTGAAGAAGATCGACATTGACAAAATCAATGAGACCTATCAACAATGGGAACGAAAGGATCCATTGCTCTAATTCTTGCTTATGAGGTTCGTCTCGAAAATAATCATCATGCCTTTGTATCTGATTCTGTAAATGGGGCACAAGCTGGAAATGGTTCAAATGCTAGTAGTGTGCCTAACAGCAACAACACCTCTAATGTCTCTTTAGCTCCGAATCCTTCTAGCTTTGATTACTCTTTTAGGCGACCTTCAAAATTTGCTCAAGGCTATGGAAGAGGTCAAGAATGTAGCTACTTCTCACATGGTTTTGTTAGATGCGAAGTCTAGACATGATGCATTGTTATGATATTACAAATTTGATCAAACTTATGTTTCACATAAAGTGATCCTCATTTCAATACTATGGAGCTTCTCAGTTGCCTTCAACTCTGCCTCAGTATCAACCCTATGCACCTCTGCCTCAATATCAACCCTATGCTATGCAAACACAGTTTCTAGAAGATCGGTGTCTGACAGTGCATCACATCATTCTCATGGTTTTCTATTCAGGAATGGTTTCCTGATTCTAGTGCTACACATCAATGTCACTCCACAAACAAACAATCTTCAACGAAGTGTACCCTTCCAAGGTTTTGATCAAGTATTGATTGAAAATGGCTAAGGTTTGCCTATTTATTCATTGGTAGCACACAATGTCAATCACCACTTCAACCACACACTACACTCTTCCTTCACAATCTTCTACTTGTACCATCTATTACTATAAATCTTATGAGTCAATATGCTTGAGACAACGTTGTCTACTTTGAATTCCATTCTAAGATTTGGTATGTTAAATCTCAAGATTGTCATGAAGTACTTTTGGAAGGGTGTCTTGGAGCAGCTGGCCTCTACAAGTTTCATCACATGCTACAACCACAGAAGATTTCTACTACTACTTTACTTTCTCTCAATACTAATACTGCTATTATACCCTCTGTATCTGCTACTTTGTATCCCTCATTCTGCACAATTTGGCAAAATAGGCTTGGTCATCCATATCACACAACTGTTAGAAGTGTTCTACAACATTGTAATATACCACTAATGCATAAAACAGAGGCTGATTTTGTAAAGCATGTTGCTTGGGCAAAACTCATCATCTGCCTTCTATGCAGTCTACTACTGTGTACACTGTATACTGAACCATTAGAATTAATTTTCAGTGATCTATGGGTCTTTCCTTGTTTCTGTCCTCGGGAGGGTACTCATATCATATCATGTTTGTGGATGCTTACACCCATTACATGTGGCTTTACTTCCTTTAAAACAAATCTGAAGCTTTACCTGCATTTCAAAAATTCAAAACTATGGTTCAGTTTCAATTTATTAAGCCGATAAAGTCGGTTCAAACTGACTGGGTGGAGAATTTCAACCATTTTCAAAGTTGCTTACTTATTTTGGCATCATTCGCTGTGTGATTTGTATGCATACACATCATCAAAATGATGTTGTAGAACAAAAACATCATCGTTTGGCTGACTGCTTAGGCAATTGAGCAAGATGTCCCATTCACCAAGTTATCACAAGAAACCTGGTTACCTCTATCTTTGCACCTTTGGCTGTGCATGTTACCCATTTATTCGTTCATACAACTGACATAAGCTAGCTTTTCACTCCAAGGAATGTGTATTCCATGGTTACTCAAACGTTTGTCTGGATTTGAAGTGTGTTTCACCTGAAGAAAGACTTCACATCTCTAACGATTTTCTTTTCAATGAGTCTAGATCCCTATCTATCTCTGTTTCAAACTCATGAATCGTCCATTTCTTCCTCGTAAATTACGACCTCCTGCTCCTTGAATTGATAACGTTGCACCCTCTGATGAGTCAATTGATAATATTACATCCATAGAGACATAAATTGTATTCTTTTTGGACATTCTAGTATCCTGAGAAAATATATTTAAGGGCTTGAGAATCAAGTTTACTGCCACTATGTTGTTTATGGATGTGGGCAAGGAAAGATAGCCAAAAACTCTGGGGGTTGGTGTATTTACAGACACAGTTTGGAGGTGATGTAGGACATCTATAGGACTTCTGTTCGAGAGAAACTTGGAAGGCAGACAATTAATGAGAAATGCTGCATTGAGGACGACCTCGCCCCAAAAATCTTTAGGAACATGCATTTGAAACAGTAAGGAACGAGTAACATTCAACAAGTGAGGGTTCTTTTGTTAAGCAACCGCATTTTGTTGTAGGGTGTCAACACGAGGATTCATGGATAATTCTTTCTTGATAAAAAAAGGAGTTGACATTTTGATTGAAGTAGTCTCTTGCATTATCAAAATGGAATTTTGCAATGGAAACCCCAAATTGGTTAGGACCACTTTACAAAACTTGGGAATAACTTGACGACTTCTGATTTTTATTTGAATGAAGGCAAGTTAGTATAAAACAATCATCAATAAAAGTTATGAACCATTTCTCTCCATTAACACTAGAGACTTTCGAGGGTCCCCAAACGTCAATATGAATCAAGGAAAAAGGTGAATTTGATGTTTTATTAACCACAGGAAAGTTTACTTCGTGATGTTTGGTTATTTCACAAGACTCACAATCCAATGTGTTGATATTAACATCCTTAAACAAAGTAGGAAAAATAGATTTCATCAACGAAAAAGGTGGTTGACCTTCCCTACAATGTTCTAACGACATCACATAGATAACCATTCTTTGATACATTTTGGGCAGCAGACAAAGAAAACAACCAAAACTGTTTGACAGAATTCTGTGGTTGGAAAGGGCTTGTGTTCTCAAGGTAGTATAATACATTATATTCCTTAGAATATCCAATCATCTTCCCCTGCTTCTGGTCCTGAAACACACAGTGAGAGGAATTAAAAATAACAAGGCAATCAAGGTTCTTTATGATTTGGTGGATGGGGAGAAGGTTGTTGGAAATTTGTGGGACATGAAGGGTGTGTTAGTAGTAGGCCCAAACCCCTAACTAGAGAAGTCTATACAAGGAGGCTCAAAAGAATGAGAGAAGCCCAATTAGTTGAGGATAATTATAAATGACAGAAAGCAAGTAGAGAAGTTAGAGAAAAAGGGGGGCGTTCGGTTAGACAATAGTAATAGCGTGGGAGAGACCAAGCTCTCAAAGTACTGGAAATGTTCTTTGTATTCATTTGATTCTTCCTCTAGTGTGGATAATTCTGCCCCAACAGAGAATATTCAATAAAGAAAAGTTTACCCTTTTGTTCCTTTCTTTAAGAACTGAACCAGTCCCTTAGAGGTGTCTTTTAAAGAGTCGTGAAATTTCTACATTACCTTGTCTACAATAATGGATTTTCCATTTGCAACAAAGATGGACCTTTCAATAGAACAAGGCTTGTAGGTTTTAAACAAATTTGGGGAGTGGGTCATATGGTCAGTTGCACCTGAGTGTATGATCCAGGTCTCGCGGACTATATAAGGAGCCTTAATAGAGTCGAATGAGCAGAGAGCTTAAGCTGGTTATGGTTTCAAGAAACTGCCACAACTTCTCAATCTCTTCTTTATTGAGGGATTGCACCTCATAAAATCAATCTCTCTCCCCCTCCTGAAGGTTAGCTTGATTGTCTTCTTTTGATTTCAATTTCATATTCCTACAAGTTCTTCTCTTTCCATAAACTAGTCAACCCATTGAAATACTCTCTAACTGAAAGATTACCTTGTTGGGTGTTTGCAATATGTGTCTTTAATTCATAGACGACAGCAGCATCTTGGGCTCTTGAGTATGTCTTTTGGACTGGTTCCCAAATCTCCTTTGCTGATTCCAGAAACATGACGTTCTGGGACACCTCAATGTGCATCATGTTCAGCAACCAGGTCATGATGATTGTATCTTCAGCACCCCACGTCTTGAACTTGAACTACTCATCACCACTTGCAAGTGGGTCCTTTGAGAGATAGTCAAGTTTTGCTTCCCCGTCAAAGTCAGCTTCACCAATCTTGTCACTGCAAATAATCTTTCCATTCAATCGTACAACTACTCCCCAATTTTGCAATTCCGAGGCATACATATTTGTTTTGGAAGATTCCAAGAGAGTGGGATTATTTACAGGGACTTCAGACACTGGGATAATAGGTGGAGATGAAGGCCTAGGGTTTAAAAACGAAAAGGAATAGTTACACCAGAGCACCCCCTAGAGAGCTCTGATAACTTGAACGATGAAGTTCTGAACTGAATAATGTATATTACATTAGAGGCAAGCTGCTAAAAGATATATTCACACATGTACAGCAGAGATTCCCCTCTAATTAAGGAGAATTGATTATTATAATTAAGGTGACAGATCTCAACCAAATTCTCTAAATAGGGAAAGCAATATTTGATATATAGGAAAATAAAATAAACAGAAAAATAATTACAAAATAACTTCAGACTTCAGAGGAATATCTCTACAGAAAATATGTTTCTAAATCAGAGAAGATATTGCAACACTAGTTGTACAGCTAGGACTAGTGAACTCTATATAAATCACTGTGTGTCAGTCAGTTAATCATCAACAACATTCTAAAAGATTAAATCCTTTCTTTCTCTATCTCTCTTTCTCAATCTCTTTTGCGAATGTTTAATGAAATTAAGGAACAAGTTACTCATAGAATACAAGCCGGGTGTTAAAATAGAAAATGACGACAGGAGTTATTAAAAGAGAATGATTGATAAATAATATATTTTATAATATAGTTTTTGACCGAACCCAATGACATGATGTAATACAGGTGGTCGGCCTCACCAAACGAGAGAAGACTTGATTGTTATTGTTGTTGATATATAAAAGTAAATAAAAAGTTGATATATATCATTTTATGACTTTTATTTTATATATATATAAATTAGAGAATGCTAATTAAAAATAGAAAAACTTGCCCTTCCCCTCCTTAACTAACTCCCAAACACACCCTAAAGCAATAAGTAAACAGCAAAGGAAAGCTGAAGCAGCTTGTCATTCCATAACTTTGCCATTACCCTTCAATGTTTGTTTTTATTACATAATTTACTACCAAAACTAGAGAAGTAAGAACATGCTAAGATGAAAATAATTCAAAGATCAATTTAACTACCTTGATCACGCAATCTTTTCAACAACCACTTTTTCCTTAATCTCTCATTTAATTTCAAAAACATCAATGCCCTTTTCTCATCAAAACATAAATATTCACAACCTTCAATGATGAGATCATCATCAAAGTCAGGCATATTCTGTACCTTCTCAACCACTTCCTCCAAGCACACTTTCTTATTACTTTCACTCAATGCATCAGCTATCCGACTGATATCTGCAGCCATAACATTCATCATTTCTAGCATGACATCACTGGTGCGTCTCCTTTTTGATGGTTGTTTTGAATGTGATGATGAAGGCTTGGCCCTTGTCTGCTCAGACAAACCTTGCACTTCGTCACTTGCATTACCATGGCTCATCTCTTCATTAGCTAATAACTGTGCTGGAGTTTCTGCATGCTCTTCATAGTTAGGTGTAGGTGCAGTATTTACATCAAACCTCTCAAAGTTTTCAGACCAATTTCCACTTCCTTGCCCATTGCCAACAATCATACCTAGTTCATGGTAGTTCTCTATATGCCTGTCTCGCAAATGCCTAGCATCAGGATGTTTCTGAATAAACACAGATGAATGATGACAGAAAAAAATGTTTAGCATCGCAATAGGATTACAGTGTAAAATATGTGGTAGTGGCTGTAGTTGACAGAAACAAGAGCCATCCTAACAATCAAACAAGTAAACATAAAGAACAAAGATATGAAGACTACAAAGACAATGTTGGAGTAGTTTGGCAGTTATTATCATAATGGGTCTCAGACTCTCCGGTTAAACTTAAACAGTATAAAGTGTGGATAACAAAAGGTTGAAGATTATCATCAGATCACAGGGTTTATCACCTAACACTGATAACCCATTAGGAGCTAGCTAAAATACTACAATAACAAATAAATGTTATAATCCAGAATAAGTTCTGAAACTAAAATTAATATGAAGGAAAACAGAATATACCTTAATGTATTCATCCCATTCTGAGTCAGTTGCAACAACCATCTTATGTTCCTCGTCCCACTCAAATCTCCCATGAGAAAGCATTTCCTGCAAGAGACCATACTGTTTCTTCCATTTTTTCAACCGGCTTACAATGTTTTCTTTTGTTAAATTCAGGCCAAATTTTTCATTTAGAAAAGTTACAGCAGCTATATATGCTGAGGTCTTGAAATTTTTTTCAAGCTTGTTTCCCAACATTACTTGATTAAATAGCAGCTCTGTCAAGCAACAATCCATCTCATCTGTCCATGTTACATGCTTCCCTTTGTCCTTTGCGGAGCTAGTTCTATGGTAATTTGTCTCTTGAGCCTCCATATCATCATCGTCTGTAGTCATGCCCATATTAGCACGAGCACCATTCATGGAACTACCTGGTGGGTCACGATGACCTATAATTATGCACAGTTCATCATAGTTTCTGATAACTCGTCCTTTAAGAAGTCGAGCATCAGGATTTTTCTGTTCAAGAAAGTATACATAATAAGCTCCAGAATATCATCATTATGCAATAACAGATGTTAAGAGAGATTAAAAGTAAGTTTATATGTACCACAATATATTCATTCCAGACAGTATCATTAGCAATCACCATTTTTCGCTTCTCATCCCATTCAAAGTCGCTCTGGTTCAAAAGTTCTTTTAGAATGTCATATTGTTTCTTCCATGTTTTAAGACGATTTTTAATATGTTCTTTCATCAAATCAAGCTGAAACTTCTCGCTAATACCCAACACAGCTGCTTCAAATGCAGCAGGTTTCAATTTGTAGTCAAATTTGCTCCTGTTACCTCGTTCTATTTGCTGCACCAGGATTGCACTAAGACAGTCGTCCATATCACTTGTCCACCTAATGTGCCTTCCTTGATCTTTAACATTGATATCATAGTTAGCTGGACAGACACTTAGAGCCTCCACTGGCTCATCACAAGGCTCAGATTCATTACAATGCAAAGGCTCATTAAAATGGCCAAAGATAGTGCAGAACTGATCATAGTTCTCAAATACTCTACCACGGAAAGTCCTTACATCTGGATGTGTCTGGCATGAGTAACATGAAGTCATGAATGTTGCAAAACTTTGAAAGATCAAATATTTGTGATCAAATCCTTATGAATATTTCTTCAGGCTAAAATAATAAATAATTTGACATATCTGATTCTTAAACCAAATTCTGAATTAAAACTACACTGTTTAAATATGATACTTGAATACACAGAATTGAGTACGAATGCTATGAAGATATTAAATTACATTTTCAAGGCACCACGAAACTTTAAACTGAGGATCATTAAAAGATTGCAGATCTGTTTAAAAGAAACTTATAGCTAATTCTGATCTATTCTTTTCATTTTCATTAATATCATGTGGAAGTTAGAACAATTTGAAGCAGTAAAATATATTTCACAACAATCACAGACACACCACAGTTGCATACTGAAATACATGAGAAGAATGATAAATCATTCTGATTCTTGTTATGTAACTACTTCAATTGTATTTGATTTTCAGAAAGACTGTCAACCAGCGGCTGTGATTGAAATGAGGGAATCAACAGTTCAATGCCTTGAAACTGCCCAATGCCACTTTGTACAATCAAACACACTTCAGTCAGCAATGATGAGATAAACCCCAGCTGTCTTCATTGGTAAGAACTATTAGTTTTCCTTTATTTCAATAAACCTATTAAAAAATTGCAATTTTTAATTATTGATTAAACAATTTCAATTTTAGTTCATTGCAAGCATACTAATGAATATACTACTTTGTGCATATAAAACATTTTTATTCATTCTAATGTTGTTATTGTGATAAGTGGAGTCTGTAAAAACATTTAACAGAATATCTGAATTCTACTTATGATTGCTATCGCCTATGATGAAAATAATTTTCAGATAGGTCTCTTATTTACTAATAGAAGAGAAACTTCAATAATATGGTAGCATGTTTTCTATTTACATTTTTAATTAGTAGGTTTTAATTAATAGGTTTTGCTAACCTGACCCTTAAGAATAATTTTAAGTGTTTAAAAATAGTATTTATTTTATTGAAAAAAAAAACATTTATTACACTTTTATATTCTTGATATAGTAAATATTTTCTTTCCTGATAAAACTTGTCGCTTTTAGTTACTTAAAATCATCCTTAAGAACTGAGGTCAATATTTTTCTTTATTAATAAATGCAAAAGCATCAGCCTGTTTTCATGGTGTTCCTTGTTTAAGAGAATTGTGAAATGGTGAAAAAAGAATACCAAGTAGTACAAAGAAGGAAATATCTTGTCAGTTGGCATTCTTATCTACTTTTATAAACGATAAGTTTATCATAGCATCACTCTTCTCCAACTTATTTTGGATAAAACATCTCTGCAGCTTTGACAAACAATTAGCCTGGTAAAAACAACTTTGAGCTGCACATTTTTCTTTCTTTGAACTTCAAATTTTATGACATCAAAATCTTACCAAATGCTTTCTCTAGAAGAGGAATTACCTCTAAAAACTGTAGAAAAAGATTATTAACTTCTACGTCTAGTTGTCTACAGTTACACGTGTTAAATATATGTAAATATATTATTTAGGAAAATAATATCCTTATAATTATAAGGATTAGGTAATCGTATATTTGTCCTTAATTTTGTAGCTATGATTACGATTCTCGTTATCAATATAAATATACATCCCGTGTTGTAGTTGAAACACACGGAACTCCTCTCATGCCTTCTTGTTTTATCTCATCTCAACATGATATCAAGAGCTTAACAAGGAAGAAACCCTAATTTGTTCTTTCCATGTGGGCCTACTGCTCATAGGTGTAACTTTTTCCTTTTAGAAACAGTGTCGAGAGTTTCTGTTTTTCTTTTTCGGCCGCACTGTTCACTCTTCAATGACTTTTCCAGCAGCACTATTCACTCTCTAGCGACTTTTTCCAGATGTTCTGTTCACTCTCCGGCGCCTTTTTTCGGCCGTAATGTTCCTCACAGCAGGCTTTTTTTGCTGCCACTGTTCACATTGCCGGACACTTTTTCGGCGTGCTTTTTTTTACTAGCTTCTCACCACAGCTGTTGTTGTTTACCTTATTTTACCATTGTTTAGTTGTGTTTCTCTCTCTAGGTTGACCCATGGTGGCTCCTGCTCCTTCTAACATCCCACCAACATTCTTCAACAATTTCCTTTGTTGGTATGCGGATCGTCAGGCCTCTAGTTCCACTGCTTCTGTTGTGTACATAGGTAATTCTTTTGTTATTAATTCTCATTCCCCATCTCTTAGTCCATATGTGCTTGATTCAGGTACCACTGATCATATTACTAGTAACAAATCCTTTTTTCCTCCCTCTCTACATCTGAATACTTACCTTTTGTTACTATGGCTAATGGGTCTCACACACAATCTCAAGGTGTTGGCACTGTCTCTCTCTTCTTCCATTATTATCTATTGACAATGTCTTATATGTTCTTAAGTCTCTCCTTTTAATCTTTTATCTATAAGTTGGCTCACTCACACACTTAATTGCGTTGTCTCATTTACTACAAATTATGTTTTTCTCAAGGACCGGACAACAGGGTAGATGATTGGCACCGGTTGTGAGTCACATGGACTATATCAACTTCAACCGCTCACACATGCTGGTTTGGAGGTGAATTTCCCTCTTCTTTCGTATGCTAGGTTAGGACATCCGAGTCTTCAAAAACTACAACTATTGGTGTCAAGTTTCTCTCAGTTATTTATACTTTCTTGTGGGTTGTGTCAACTACAAAATAAGTCCATAATTACTTTCCAAGTCGTCAAAATGAGCAAGCCACATCGCTTTTTAGTTTGGTTCATTCTAATGTTTGAATCTTAGTTGTACTGTTTTCACTCTAGATTTTAGGTATTTTGTTACTTTTATTGATAATTATTCTTGTTGCACGTGGTTATTTTTAATGAAAGATCATTCTGAATTATTTTCTATTTTTTAAAAATTTTTTAAGGAAATTAAAGTTCAATGGTCTTCCAATTTGCACTTTGCGTAGTGATAATGCTAAGGAGTACTTATCACATTCTTTTCAAAATTTCATGATGTCTAATGTTATACTTTATCAAACTTTTTGTACTCATACTTCTCAACAAAATGAGATTGCTGAAAGAAAAAACAGACACCTTATTAAAATTACTCACACTCTACTCTTACATAGATGTGTTTGATATTGTTTTCGGGGAGATGCCGTCTTAACAACTTGTTACCTTATCAATTGGCTACCTTGTGTGTTTGGGTCCGCATGTTTTGCACATAATCTTAGTCCAAGTAATGACAAATTCTCTCCTTGTGCCCTCAAATGTATTTTTCTTGGTTATAGTCATTCTCAAAAAGGTTATAAGCGTTACTCTCCAACTCTTAAACGTTATTTTATATTTACTGATGTTACTTTGATTCTATTCCTTTTTTTAGTTTTCCTACAGTGTCTGAGTTAGAACCAGAGTTTGTCATACCTTAACCACCAATTCTAGTTGTTTTTTACCCCTAGAGGTCACACCTCCTATTAATGACCCTCCTCTACGTCTGTTACAAGTGTACCATCGTCGGCCACCTTTGCCCACTGTTGAAATACCATGTGACCCTCTGCCAGTTCCAACACATGTGCCTCCTCCAGTCCTATCATCTGACACTGATCTCCTATTGCACTTTAAAAAGGTACACGTTCTACTTGTAACCTTTCTCTTCATCATGCTGCTGCTTTATCATATCATTGTCTATCTTCATCCCAATATATGTGTCTTTCTTCTTTGTCTTTTGTTTCTATTCCTATAAATACAGCAGAAGCTCTCTCACATCTCGCTTGACGTCAAGCAATGCTTGATGAATTGTGCATGCTTCACAGGAATGACACTTGGGACCTTATTCCTCTTCCTTCAGGTAAATGTTTTGTTGGTTGCAAGTGGATATACATTATCAAAGTGGGTCCTGATGGTCAAGTGGATCGTCTTAAAACTTGTCTTGTGACAAAAGGCTATACTCAAATTTTTAACATGGATTATGATGACACATTCTCTCCAATGGCTAAAATGACCTCTATGTGCTTGATCTTGTCCATGGCTGTCAACCTCCTTTAGAACCTTCATTAACTTGACATTGAGAATGCATTCCTTCATGGCGACCTTGCTGAAGAAGTTTATATGGAGTAACCTCTTGGTTTTGTTGCTCAAGAGGAGTTTTTAGGATTAGTTTGTCGTCTTCGAAAATCCTTGTATGGTCTTAAACAGTCTCCAAGAGCTTGGTTTGGTAGATTCAGCAATTTGGGATGATTCGAAGTGAAATTGATCACTCATTTTTTTATCACCACTCAGCCACAAGATGCATTTACTTGGTTTTGTATGTGAACGATATTATTATCACTAGCAGTGACCATCATGGCATTACATAATTGAAGAACAACTTATGTTACAATTTTCAGACAAAAGACATTGGAAAACTTCAATATTTCTTAGAAATAGAGGTGGCACAATCTAAGCATAGTATTGTAATTTTTCAAAGAAAGTATGCATTGGATATATTGGAGGAAACAGGTTTAATGGGGGCCCTGTATATAGTCCTATGGATCTTAATTCTAAACTTCTACTAAGTCAGGGAGAGCCTTTTGTTGACCCAGAAAAATATAGAAATTTGGTAAACTAAATTACCTCACAGTTAGTTGACCCGACATCTCTTTTGCTGTTAGTGTAGTAAGTCAGTTTCTCAACGCTTCCAATGAAGGACATTGAGATGCATTGATTTGCATCTTGAAGTATATCAAAGGTGCTACAAGAAAATGTCTCCTGTACAAGAACAAGGGTTATGATAAAATTATTGGATATTCTAATGCAGGTTATGTAGGCTCTCATGACAGAAGATCCATATCTGACTATTGTGTTTTAATTAGAGATAATCTAATTTTCTAAAAGAGCAAGAAGCAAAATGTGATTTTCTCTTTCTAGTGTAGAAGCAGAATATCTAGCCATGACTTCAGCCACATGTGAACTTATATGGCTGAAAAAACTACTTAAAGAATTGAGATTTAGAGAAGATACACAAATGACACTCATTTGTGATAACTAGACAGTCTTACACATTGCCTCAAATTCAGTCTTTTACAAACGAACGAAACATATTAAGATTGATTGTCACCTCCTTCGTGAAAAGATGTTATCCAAAGTTATTGCCATAAGTTTTGTCAATTCAAATTATCAACTGGCAGATGTATTCACAAAGTTTTTAAGGGATCCTCGTATTCAATACATATGTGACAAGCTTGGTGCTTATTATTTATATGCTCCAACTTGAAGAAGAGTGTTAAATATATGTAAATATATTATTTAGGACAATAGTATCCTTATAATTATAGTAATTAGATAATCGTATATTTGTCCTTAATTTTATAGTTATGATTACGATTTTCGTTATTAATATAAATATACATCTTGTGGTGTAGTTGAAACATGCGGAATTCCTCTCATACCTTCTTGTTTTCTCTCATCTCAACAGCATGCAACAAAAATAAGTTATTCACAATGGTTCCTTAATAATTCTTTGAGCATTTCATGGCCATTGGTGAAGATTTCAAATTAAATGCTTATAGATATCATTAATTTACATGATGGTCATGGCCAGCACATATTGATTTTGAATTTAAGGAGGTCAAGTTCAACACAGAAAATGAGCTAGGTAGGTAACTGAACATGGTAGACAAGTGAATTTCCTTTCATAAAAGTAAGGGTATTTGCCACTATAGTTCATTTGGGCTATTTTCTATATATCCTTTTCTTCAGACACAATAAATAGGTTGTAATAAATGATAATCTGCATCATGAGGGACATCAAGCAAAGGAAGGGGTTAGCCGTTTAATAACAAAACTGTAGCAATGCAATCAACTTTCTAACTAATCATTTAATCTCCTCCAACTCCTCCCTAAAAGAAAAGCCTTGCCACCCAATCAAACAATAAAGATAATTACCACGTCATGTAACATGTAAGTGAAAACATAATGATTGTACCAAACAAAGAAAAAACATCATGGTATCCATCTTGACAAAGAAACCTGCATTTTCCTTAATTACTTCATCTAACCACCATTTATTTGAACAGTGCATGATTCAATTGAAAACCTTCTAAAAATGAAGCAGCTTCATCTGCATGTACAAATATTTCATGCTAGAAAGATGCCCTCTTAGCAACTAGCAAGGGACAACAAGGGGTTTCAAAATACCCACTCCCAAATGTTATCCCCGATTAATTGTATCTATGAGGATAATGGCTGATGACTTTTGGAAAGAATTTAAAGAAAATTCATTTTTCATATTGCAGAAAGGTTTACTCAACAAAAGTAAAAGAAGGAATAAGTCATTCAAATAACTTTTGTGTGGTCAGAATATGTAAATCCTATAGGTGACAACATACCCGAATGTAGTCATTCCACGCAGAATCATTTCCAATGACCATTTTCTTAGTTTCATCCCACTCAAATCCAGTATGAGACAAAAGTTCCTTCAACAATTCATACTGTTTTTTCCAAGTTTTAAGCCGATTTTTTATGTTGTATTTTGTTAGATGAAAATCAAATTTTGCATTTATGGATGAAACAGCTGTGTCATATGCTTCTCTCTGCAAAACTTTATCTACTTTGAGCCCTTTCCTCACTTGGTCTACAAGAACCTTTCCAAGCCAATTGTCCATTTCAACTGTCCACCTGAGATTTTTGGTCTGGTTTCCATCAGATTGTATTCCAGACACAATTGCAAGATCTGGATCCTCCTTATCAGTTGCAAAGTTCACATCTATTTCTGCAACATTGTCAGAAAAGCTTGCAACTACTTGATCACTTCCAAGGATGGTACATAATTGATCATAGTTTTCTATAGACTTTCCTTGAAAAACCCTTGCATCAGGGTGTGTCTGCAGGTAACATAAGAACATCAGACAAGAAAATCAACATGAAACTGAAAACTGATGAAATGCATATCATATCACATGTAATGGGATTACCTTGATGTAATCACTCCAAACAGAGTTATCTGCAACAACCATCTTTTTTGTCTCATTCCACATGAATCCCCTATGAGTAAGGAGTTCCTTCAAAACCCCAAACTGCTTCCTCCACGTCTTCAACCGATTTTTTATGTGTCCTTTTGTCACACACATACCATACTTTCCATTTAATGTTTTCAATGCGCCGGAAAATGCTGCTGGCTTTAAGATGTTATCTACTATGTTCCCCTTTTTCACTTGCTCAGCAAGTACCTCAGTGAGGCACTTGTCCATCTCAGTTGTCCAAACCATGTATTTTACTTTCTCTTTGGCATTAGAACTTCGAGTCTGGTATACTTTTTGATGCAAACCTGAAAAATCCATATAATACACTATGATACTTTAGCTTCTTTTGCAATGCACTGGATTTTGTGCCAGGAAAAGGAAGGGCATTGCAACCAGGATTTAAATTTAGTCACATGAAATAAATAGAGCTCAATCAACTAAGAAAAAATGGCATGTGTAAACCCTACCCCTCACAATTGTGAAAAAGGTTGGTGAAGCAAAAATACACTTAATCCTTTAAAGCCATGTCAGAGTTGAAATTTCGTAATTGTTTGGTTTATAGCAGAAAATAAATGGAATTTTCTCAAAATCACTAGTTTTTTTTTTTTTTTTTGCAGGAGAAACTATAGCCTCATACAAATGAGCCACATGTATCTGATGTTACAAAGCTATACAAACAAAGCAAATGGGAAAATTATCAATTTTCAGATGTATATACAAGCATTTCAAGCTAGAAGTACAGTATACACCATTGAAAGGGTATCAACAGTTTATCATTTTACAGAAAATAAAATGCTTTAATGATTACATGAATACTCATCATAAACCAAAATACCAAATACACCTATGCATGGAAATTTCCAATTTCTCACATTTAAAAAAATACTTCACCATTCATCATTTAGTTTCCTGAAACTTCAATATGATTAGCAATTTAGCATACATCTTAAACTTTTAATTCATCACTAAATTCATTAAATATTAACTCTAATATCTACAAAATCATAGTACTGCAGTACAGTTGACATTTAGGCATTTAGGTTGATAATGTTCACCAAGTTTATTCACAGCTGCAACATCAGAGCAACACATTCCAATCTATTGACAATACAAAACAATCCAACACTCTTCCAGTAAAGTTTGAAGCCAATGTTACCTACAAACATTACTCTTAGTGATGCTTCAAGTCACAAAACCACAGCACATTAAATTTAAAAGGAGCTTGGAAGTCTTTATGACTAACATTGTTTATTTAGTTGAAAATTTGATCAAGTCTGACAATGTAATCAATCAAGTTTTGTTCATCTTATTTTTAAAAAGTAATCTCTTTTTTATTTTGTCAGCTTTCTGAGCAAGCATTTGAAATGCCAACAGTAAGTTGGCTCACCTGGTTGGCCTTCTACTCTTGCAAAATTAGGGTTTTGATTTGATTTTAGAACAACCTGTTGGTAAGTAATTTGCATTCCTGCCATCAATCCTCGTTGAAGTTGGGGCTCTTCCTTGATCTTACATGGGAGTGAACATTCTCCTAAGTCAAAATTTCCTGTACCAAAAAATATGAGCTTTTAAAAACCTGTCTGGCTAATAGTACTCTATGATAGCTGGACTGGAATCAAAATACTAAATTTTTACTAGAAATAATGTTATAATGCATTAAAAATCACAGTCATAAGTATTTTTTACGTTTTCTAATAAAAAAAATTCTAGTTTTAATTCCATAAAGAGTGCATCAGCATTTTCCTTTTAAAAAAACAATTTTTCTCAAAATTAATTTCCAAGACTTGGGTAGAATTTCCCACCACCTCTCCTACAAAAGAAAAAATAAAAATTAAAGAGAGAAAATAGTAAATAAGACATGCAAATCGGTATCAAGAACATGAATACTGTTCTCATACAACAATTTTCAGTTCAGATTAAAAAAAAACATAAAAGAACCTTGGCTAACTTAAAAACTGAAAATAGAGTTGTTGAAAAACAACCCAAATACGAGAAACTCAATTTTCTTGGTGACTAAAATTTCAATTAGAGAAGAGCAATTGAACAAAAGAAGAAGGAAGATAGCAACCTGCCATGGTTGCCGGGATTTGTTTTCTGGCGACTCTTTGGTTGATCCACGCTAGAGAGGCAAGACATGCGAGGAGCCTAGATTGGAATTGGGATACGTGTGTCCGTCAGTGTCCATTTACATAAGAACAGAGGCAAGACATGCCAGGAGCGTAAATTGGAATTGGTATGTGTGTCCGTGTCAGTGTCGTGTCCGATTACATAAAAGCAGCAATTAGAACAGTGTCAATCCACCAAAATAGTTTTAGTCAAAAATGTCAAGGGGTTCATTGTAATGGTTACATACATATTACATTACTAATTACTAATATGTATTTTTTTTCATGGCTTTCTGTAAAGATAATTATTTATTGATCTTTTTAATAAACACTAAATATAATTATTTATTGAATATGAAATTAGGTTTAAATAATTTTTTTATTTAGATCACAAGCATTTTTTCACAATTGATCTGATCTTAAGATCATAAATTAAGTTTTAAAATAAGTTAACTATTAGTTAATCTATGTGTTTCATAAATATAATTATATTTTATAAAATTTAAATACTTTAAAATGTAAAAAAATAATTATTTTTTATTAATGTATAATCTGAAAACAAAATATTTCTAATTAAGTAAAAGTTTTATGTATAAAGAAAATAAAAATAAAAATTTCAAATATATCATTTTTTTAAAAATATCTTAAAATATGTCAATTTTTTCCAACTCATATCATGCTCAAATTAACATGGACATATTTGTTTAAAAATAAAAATATAATTCGCACAAAAGTAGCACAATCGTGTTCAAATTAGCATTAAATATGTTTATTTTAAAATTAAATATAACTCTTAAGACATAAAATATAATCAAGTTTAACTTAGACATTTCAATTTTAAATTTTTAAAATTCATAATATTTTACATAAATTTTTAATTTATATAAATTATATTTATTTTATATAATTTTTTAAGATTTATTTAACTAAATTTATCTAAAATTCAAAACATAAATTACTAAAAGCAGTGAACATTCACGCTAATACAAAAAAATTTCTACGACAACTTTTAATATTAGTTAATTTTTAAATAATAAAAAATATATCAATCAAATTTTAATTAATATAAAGTTGTCACTTTTAACATCTTATATATTATTATAGAATTAAGTGATGAATTTTTTTTTTTGAAATTTTGAAAAAAAAATATTTTTAGTTGATAGATTTTAAAAAATTATATGAAATAAATACAATTTATATAGATTAAAGTTTTGTAAAAAAAAAAAAATACTCATTTAATATTTAAAATACAAAAATTAAAAAATTAAAATACATTATTGCTAAACTAAGTAACATAATTGTGCTAATTTTAAAAATGTGCTGGTTACCTTTAACTTATATATAAATTATATTTCTATATTCTCTCTTGATGTGATTTGTGCATTAAGTATTATTAGAACATATTTTATTTTTTTTGAAAAACTGAACATTTTTAAGATATATTCTCTCTTAAAAATATAGTATGTATCAGTAAAAATATATTGAGAAGTAGTGCCTCCTATACATGCATCTATGGATTGATTAAATGCAAATACGAGTGAGTATTTTATATATTTAATCATATTTTTATAATTTTATAAAATTAATTTTGATTAAATATGAGTCTAAAGTAAAATAATTAATGTAAGATATTTTTTATTTAAAAATTTATTTTAGCATAATAATGTTGTTTAAATAGTTTTATTTGTAATTTCTAAAACAGTATGAGTTTTATTTTTTAAAAAAATTAAACATATTATTCAATAGTCGAAATATCGAACCATTAATCGAGAGAAAAGAAATTTTGAACCAAACATATTTCAAACCTATCCCTAATGGATTTTTGTTTTTCACACCTTTATAAAAAAAAAAGTATAGTTCATACAATAGGAATATATCATGCCTTTATTTATTTGATGACGAATTAATTAAGTGCATGTTTGAATGTATGCTAAATTATGTTTATATATATATATATATATATATATATAAGTAAGATTTTAAATTCATATAAATTTAAATTTTTTATTTAATTTATATATAATAATTAATAAAATAATAAATTATAACTAATAAAATATAAATTAAGATTAAACGTCAATCTTTAAGCTTGCCTCAAAAAGACACTTTTCATATGAAAATGATGACAAAAGAATTACACCAACATTTTCTATATTTAGTACATTGATTTGACCTATAACAGAAATGAGTGATTGAATCTGTCAACGCTCAATTTAGCATTCTGATATTATTTACCAATCTTCTCCTTTCAGCATCCCCTGTATTGACATCTAAAATACTTCGCACATCAATTAAAATCTTTAATATTTTAATAATTTTATAAAAACCAGTTAATAACAAAAATAATAATATAAAAATTGTAAAATATATAAAAGTTTTTACTTAATATTTAAATAATATTTTAAAATTATTTATTAATTATCAATAATATAAATAAAAATTAGATAAATATATAAATTAATATGATAATAAATAATAATATTTTCATTAATATTGTTTAATAATGTTAATCATTATAAATATTTAAAATTTATAAAATTTAATTTTTCTTTATTTTTTTAAACAATTTTATTAGTCTACAAGATTATAATAAAAATATTATATAAAATAAATATTTTTAATAAATTATTTTATAAGATAATATATGATTATTCTATAAAAATAAATTAAAATAATTTTTTGAAAAGATAATTAGCTCATGAATTAACCTTAATCTACTTATCTTTGTAAACTTTTTGACCTTATAGATTTTTCAACCCTATAGACTTTTAAATTTTAATCTACATGAGTTAAAATTAAATTGGTTAGAACTGACTTTTTTTGTTTTTTAAACATCAACATTTTATTAACTGACAAATTTAGAATACAAAAGATACTATAATCTGTTAAAACTCTAAAAGAAATTAATAATACATGTCAAGGGGTCGTTAATATAATTCACTACAATTGATCTCTCTAAAGGTGATCTACAAGCAATTTCTAAGATACATATTCCAAGTATTCGATCCAAGTTTTGATCCCTTCACAAAATTGTTTTTATAAATTTAGATTGAGCCTATAACTTGGAGTTGGAATTGTGCTTATTCCTCCTTGCATTGTGAAATGCACTTGTAACATTAATTCTTTTCTGCATTACTGCCTCAACAATATTGGATTGAGGAGAATGTAGTCCTTGACTCAATACGTGATTAGTCTCATCTGACCCATGAGAATGCCTAATAATTAGACCATTAGATTCGTCGGTAAACTCTTTTTGTATCACATCCCTAACTTCGATTGGTCCCTCATCAATAACACCCAATTCTCATAATCCTTTATTAGCTTCTGTGTCCAACAAATTTCCTTTCTCATAAGTTTCGACAAACAAAGGCCCACTTCAGTCAACCTCATTTTCAAACGCATCATCACCCAATCGCACAACATCTACATTATTATTGAAAATCAAGTCCTTATTGATATTCACTTCATAATTTGAATTCTCTCTCGTTTACGCATCTGCTACGTTTTCCATGGAATTTGATTTTGTAGTTTCAAACTCCTCTTGATAGCAATGTCGGGCAAAGAATCACGTAAGTTTTGTCCCTAATAATCCACCCCCTATTCCCCCTCTTACGTGCTCTCCACACTATTTTTGGTCACTGTTTTTTTTTTTTTGCTATGCTTCCTATCATTAAATCACGACCCTTCTCACCATCATCTGAATTTTCATCCTCCAAAGTGTCGTCATAACTCTCTAACAATGAAGTATTTGAATTATGATACCACCATCCTTCTTGAAAGAATTCTCTCCTATGTTCTCCAACCATCTGAATTGAGAACATAGGATCATTAACATTAATCTTTAGATCTTCATTAATCAGCGCATTGTTGGGCTCGTAGGTGAACTCTAGCAAAATCTATACATCTTTGGAAAGTCATATTATCGTTCATGCACACAAAATCTCCTAGTGGTGACACCATCTTGCGAAAGAATGTTTTTGACTAAGTATGATATGACACACTGTACAAACAACTCAGGTTCCCCTATTAATTGCCACTACACGAGGATACCATCAATCAATGGTATAAAATAGCTTAGACAAACCATCTTTGTACCTAACTACAACCTCCCCCAGCTCCTCCGGATCCTCTGATTCCAACATAATCATATATGGATTCGCATAAAATGAAGTCAGTCACACTTTTGAGCTCTTTTGGCCAGTGTAACCTTCCCACCACCACCTTGCAGCCCCTTTTAACTGTATCCTGATCAACATGTAACTCGCTATGACACCACTCTTTTTTCTTAGGGACCCACACTGCATACTTGTTTTGCCTTCTAATAGCACCCTTTCTTTTCATCATATCTGCATAGCTTTGCCCACCAACACTACCTCTCCCTTCCACCTTGGTCCCAACGCTGTTCAATGGTTTTGACACCTTCTCACATACAACATCCTAAGTTTGTCTAGTGATTTCCTGTTTATTGCCAGCTCTGCGATATCTAGACACATTCACTGTCATCCACATGTTGTCTATTGTTATGAAACTCAATCTCTTTTCCATGTCACTGTTGAATTTTGTCTGAGATTTTCTCTGTTAAGTGTCACAAGTGTCCACCCACCGTGAATCTACACCCAATCTCACACCCTCTCACTCTCATTTTAGGTTTATATTTTATAATTTTATTTTGATTTATAAATACTTTTAATATGTTTTATTTTTAGAGTTTTTACCATTTTCCATTTATTCAAATAAATTAGGCCTATTACAAATAAATGCTTTAATTTTGTATTTTTCGGTAATTCTGATCTTTGACTACTCTTTTGCCCATAATTTTTTCTACAGATATCATTTTTGACTAACTACAGTTGCATTACATTCTACACATCTAGGATTTCAAAATGCATATGTGGAATCACCGGATTTGGAGTTGATTTCAATTTTTTATGATTTTTTAAAGTTGAGACAGATTTGCTAAATGTTGTTGAGACATTGCATTTGGACCCTCTATTATTAGATAATTATATTTGGGCTTGTAGTTATAATTAAGGCCTAATTTTTGGCCATTTGGTTTACCCTAATTAAAGCTTATAAATAGACTAATATAGTTTTGATTTAGAAGATGATTAAACACTTTGAGATTTTGAGACTTGG